GACATTTCCTGATGAAGCAGATGAATACCACATGAAGCAGAAGCCAACGAGACAGAGACCAATACGAAAGAAGACTTTGCTGAATTTTAATTTTGTGTTTGTAGATTCTGTACATTTAATTAAATTATTGTTAATTGTTTATTAGTTTAATGTAAGTAGCTATTGTTCGGAACGAACAATACTAAGGAAGGGGCAGTGTTACGACAGTGGGGGTCACGTAACGAGTATTCTAGAAGATTCGCTAGAGTGTTACGACAGCGGGGTTACGTGACGAATATTCTAGAAGATTCGCTAGTGCGTTGCGACAGCGGGAGTCAATTGACACTGGTAGCACATGTTGAGAGTCTTGGAAGTTTCTAGAACAGGCAGTATTATTGTGCGCTAGACAGTGAGAGAGACAGACAGAGTCCAAGCAGTAGTGGAGACGGAGGCAGAGGCGTAGCAGGCAGAGAGAAAGAAAGACAGCAATTACGGTCAGCGGGAACTGAGGATAGCAGACACAGAGATCGGAACTATAGTTTGCGGGGACGGACAATTAAGTCTAAGCGCGATAGAAAGTGTAACTGTGAAAATTAAGTACATTACAAAGTTGTATTGAGGAAGAATAAACAAGTTTTATAAAGAAAGGACTTGTATCTTAGAAGAATTAACAAACAAACATACAGAGACATAACCAATTGGATGCTAAGAATGTCCCCCTAGTGGTTTTCTAAGCCTTTCTAATGTACTTAGCATCATTTCTTTCTATTAAATCAAGATTTCTATGAGGTAGGTTGTGTCTTTAGTCTGCTCGAAATTTCATATTTTTTTAGACCCAAATACAGCGTAGTTACTAAGTTTGATAAATTATAGTAGAATTCTATGGTATTGATGTAGTAATTTATGGAATTTTTTAGTTATTCAAAAGTATATATAAAACCTAAAAAAAATATTTTGTTTCAAATCCTCCATGTGCAAAATTTTTAAAGACTTAGCAACCTACATCAAGCAGCAACTGAGTAAAAAGGTCGTAAATAGAAGAAATAATTGTTTGCTTTACTTCTTAATTTACTGTTCTATGTTTTAGGAAAAATATCTTTAAGAATTTATTTCAAAATAGCAATAATCTATATACTTATATAATGTATAATAATTGAAATGTGACTGTATTTTACAAAATACTAGTCTACTAAATCACAGTCAAAACAAGTTACTTTGTGCTGACCAAAGGTCAGTTTTATGTTATTGGATACAGTAACATAAGTGCACATGTCATTGTAACTTCTGTATTGTTAGCCAG